TTTTAAGGCTGATTTTAAAACATTTGAAAGTATTCGGTGAAATAGTTTCTAGGGTTTCTTTTCTTTAACTGGCTGCTTAAAAAAGCTCTAGAAAACAAATACACAGGAAAAAATGAAAATATGTTAAAATAAGGAATAAAGCAGTTACTGAAGTGTAATAATCCCGGTTTATAGCACACTTTCCATTTAAATTGTTTTTATTAGAGATAAACCTGTTAAGCGTTGAGGAATTAAGTGCTGAATAGAGAAGGCTGTTTTGCTGCTGTATAAATGAAGGATCCCAGTATGCAGAAAAGAGTACGGCTGGTTTTACGAGTGAATTATTTGCCAGTTTGAAGGGCTCTGGTTACTTTGGCATCTGTTAAAAAAAAATTATGATTTGGTTGTTGTCAAGAGGGATGCTGTTTTTTTCAGAGGAGCAAGAGAGATTTTAGCACTGGGGTTTGTAGGTACTGTGGGCTTTCTCGTCATCCTTAATGCCTGGTTTGCTAGAAGGAGCTCAAGGAGAAAATTGAGGCAGAGAGATTTTTGGGAATTTCTTGACACTGCTCGTGATACACGGACTTCTGGCGTGCGTCGCTTTGGGACAGTATTGAGAGGGAGCAGCCTGCAACTCCAAGTATCAAAAGTCAGTAATGGTGTGAAACTCTCCTCATTTGGGAGGGCCGGAGGGAAAGAAAAATTCAATATACCACTAAGTCTCAGCATCTCCTTTCAGACAGCTGGTCCTGGAAAATTTCATTCAAAGACTGCAAATTGGAAGTCCCCACAATCACTCTGTCAATTCTTGAGCAAAGGTGACTTTGGAAATTCGTGACAGCGGAGGAAGGTCTTGTTTTATTCACTCAACAGAAGTGAAATACAAGGGGAAGGGAGAAAGAACAGATCAGTGCGGAAAATGTCACTTGGGCTGTAACCTGAGCCTTAGCAAGCTGTGCCTTTCGGAGGGTTTGGTGACCCTCCGAAAATCCTTGCTCTCTGGCTGCTATTATTGTAGCCAATTTCCAACTAAAATAAGTCTTTTGTCATCACCAGCCATGCAGCCTCTCGCTGAGAAGAAACAAAACTTGTGCGTGGCAGCGAGGGCGGCCAAGCTGAAGGTCAGAGTGCCGAGGCAGATTGCTGCATCCCTGGGGCCAGGGCTGGATCTCACCCGTGGGACCGGCGGTGCACCAGCCAGAGAGGCTGCCAGTGACCTCTGGAGACAGACCCCGGGCAAGAAGCCTAAGAGAAAACATCCTAGTAAAATGCAAATCGGTGAAAAGAGGGCTTCCTACTCCTCTTTAGGGTTTTACAGGTGGAATAGGTGTTTTTTTCTTGCTTTTTGGGACACAGCGGAAAGCGCAATCTCGTGTATCCAAAAGGGCAAGGGAAAGTTAACTTGAAAAAAATGATAAATACTTTAAACTTCTGTATTTGCCCAACTGTTCAAACGTTTCCTTCATGCCAGATTCTTCCCTTGCTAAAAAAAAAAAAAAAAGGGAAAAAAAAAGCAACCCGGAGCATTGTTTTGCAGAGTTCTCGGCTCTCCTTGGGCAAGGAGGTGGGTACAACTTGTACACTGGGGGATATCATGTTGTTTGTGCCACCATTGATTCTGCTCTTTGAGGGGAAAAAACTCAAACCAAAAAACCCCTTCCACATAGGAGCAGAGGTACCAATGCATAGAGCACTGCCATGGGGAAAAATACTTTATGCACATCTTTGAGCCTGTGTGGGTCTTTACTCACACAAGTAAGGTTATGTGGCTGTCTTAATCATAAACTTAAGTTTTATGCTGAGTCATATTTTGAGAATACGATATTTGAATAGCACTTAATATGCAGATAGCTTTTTTAGATCCTGATTCCTCTGAACTTTTGAATTTTAGAGTGATTGAGGGTTTCTTTCTCTTGAGCTAGGTGAATGTGAACATAGGGGAAAAGGGGCAGTGAGATTTTTCCTGGTAGCTTTTCTGTTCCATCATTTTTTCTGTTTTCTTACGTCAGCCTGGCACTTCGGAAATTCAAAGAGTGATCAAAAGATCTTGGCCCTACTATCAAAGATAAAAAACAGAGAGTATGAAGAAATTACCCCCATGTGTGTATATTTCTGCAGCTACAGCTAATGTGGAATTTTGCTTGCGAAGAGTTCTCAAATGTGATTTGTAAACGTAGCAGCGCTGCATTGTGCTCTCTCAAGGCAAGCCACATTAATGGTTTTAATCTGAAGGGTTCTTACAAATTCCAGGTTTGGGATGCAGGAAGAAACTTGAAAGTGAATACTTTCTTCTTTTTTGTTTTAATGCATAGTGGCTTGCAGTCTACTATAATGCAAAGTAAAGCGTTCTGTTACAAAGACAGGGAGGATGGGACAGAAGGTTAAAGGGCATCCTGGAAACAAACAGCTGGACCAGTTTATTTAAACAGATACAAGGATGGGGAGCTGACCTCCGTTTGACTTCTAGTGGGAGGAGCGAGAATGTCATTTTATTACTTTGCCCAGAAGGAAAATGTTCTTGTGTCTGAATTCCCCCCGAAGACATCCAAACACTGGGCTGTTTGGCAGAATTGCTACTTACAGAAAATACTTTTACGAATGCGTAGGAAGAAGATAACTGTTAAGTACCTGTGTGTAAAATGTTCTTAAAGCAGATACCCTGAGCGATAGTGTGAGGCAGACAGGTGAGAATATGTTTTACTGTAGGCATGTCTTGTGGACAATTATTGGTAAATTCTGGCTACATGGCTTATTATTCTAGCTATATAGTTTATTATTGAGCCCCCCTTCCTATTGAAAGTGATTGTAGTTTGGAGGAGAAGGAGGAGAAGCTTGTGAAGTTGGGGCGTGCATGCGTGATGTTGCTCAGGGTAAAAGCTTTGGGGTGAAAGCTTTCGGCAAATGAAGGTTTCGGTGACCAGCCGATCTCATGGCTGCCAAAAACCCTCCCCTCCTGCCTCAGTGGCAGGTCCTGGCAATCAGGCAGGAGAAGAATGGAGTAAACACAGCAAGAGCCTGCCAGACTTGCAGAAAGAAATGGCTGGGGCAGGGGGGGTTTGTGTTGTTGTTTTACTTAGGAGAGTTACTGTGAAAATTGCTTTCTGCAAATGCAGATTACAGATATTAAACAATTTTCTAATTGGTCATGGAGCTAAGGCAGCTAATGGGGGGAAAAAAGCAGATTTTTTTTAATTACTTATTTCGCATGGTGTTTGTGCTACACCTGTGCTTATAATGAGAAAGGAGAATTAGTCTAACCTTCTGCTCACATGATTCTAATTTTCATGGTTTGTACAAGATAATGATAAACTGATTTGCAACACTGTTTGCTGGAGTTGAGGGTTGTTTTTTTTTATTGGAAATGTGTAGAAAAATTGATCCAATACTGTTGCTGACAAAACATGACCTAGTTCAGGTGTAAGGTTTCCAGATCAGCACCCAGAATTGGTGCCTTTGAGCCCATTTTGTTGAGACGGGTTTGATTAGGACTCAGAGTCTTAATTAATTTTGCAGGAGTTTGGATAATGGGAGTCAGTTGGGAATGGGAGATAGGAGGAGACCTGAATCGCTGTGCTGGTCTTTGATGAGGGCAAAACAAACAGCACGGGGCAGTGGTTTGCGATTCTTCTCCCTGCCGGCGCAGGGGAATGGGTGGGCAGAGCTGATTCCTGCGGGAAGGTCCTGGTGCCTTCATCTCTGTGGTAGGAGAGCCCCTGCTAAGCCACCCCAAGCAAATGCAACAAAACCAAGCACCAAGTAGCCCTTTGTGGACTTTGCCATTGCGGTTCACAAGCGTGGTGTGGTTTTACGCGTGCTCACGCTTCTTCCCTTACTAGTAAATATTGAGACATACACGGTTTTGTTATTATTTTTCCCTCTTGTAAAGAATGTAAAGTCTGGTTAGGAGGCTTCGCTGTGATTAAACCTCAATGGAGATGTTTTCCAAATGGTTTTTAACTAAGCTTTCTGATGAGTGAAACCGCAAGAGAAGTTCTTCTGATGCTCTCCAGGCAGGTTCCCAGCCACGGTTTCAAGCCTCCTGATTTCAGGGCCATGACGACTGCCTGCAGAGGAGACCGGGGCACTTGTGATCCCTCTCCTTCTTTTGTTTTGCTCCAAATTATTTTGAATATTCCTTTCCCAAATAAGCATAGCAAGACTAACTGAGGCAAAGAGCTACAAAAACGCAAGGAGTACGGTTGCAGATGGCTGTTTTTAAAAATGACTGTACCTTATTTTTTTATTTCCAAAGATCTGCTTTTCATTGTTCGGGGGGAATTTTCAGTAGTCCAGTAATTACAGTTTAACAAGATGTTTGCTGTAAATGGTCAGGCCTAGCTGGAGAAAACAGGATTATAAATTCAATTACTGTAAAGCTGTGACCTCGCCTTGACCCCTCAGACTTTGCATAAAGAGAGAGGGGGGCAAAAAGCCCACCAAGAAATGGCTAGGAGGAATGCACGGCTCTGAAGTCCCCAGCAGTGTGACTTAGTGGTGATAAAACTCCAGACGTTCCCTCATTTGATGGGGTTCTGCCATCACAGTTCATTATCTTAATAGTGGGCATTAAAAGGGAATTAGGTTTGCAAGAGGTAGGGGCAGGTTTTGATAAAAAAAAAAAGAAAATTGGGAGAAAAGAAGTCGGAGGACATAAGGCAGAAATGGCCCTAATGAGGGGGAGGTAGCAGATGCCCTCATGAGCATCTCGCCGGCTTCACCCGTTTTTTTTGTGCCCCATTCTGAATTGAGAAGAGCGTTGCCGTTATTGTTTCCTGAAAACTCAGCTAATTCCCCCATGAAAAGATGAAATGGAAGTGTCCAACTGTGGTAAAAAGCAGGCAAACATAAATCAGCTCGGAAACCCCAAGCTCGTGCTCTCAAAGGTCATCGGGGTTAGAGGTTTTGCAGTATTTGCATCCCCACGCAGCCCGGCGGAGAGCGCCGCAGCGGGCAAGAGGGCTTGGGGATGGGTGGAAGCTGTCCCCTTCGATAACTGTATGCTTCCCTCTTTTTTCTTGCAGGTTTATTAATGCTAGAAGAAGAATAGTTCAGCCCATGATAGACCAGTCCAATCGAGCAGGCAAGTCCCCAGTAGTATCTGTATTCAAGTCATGCAGGCGAAAACCATCCTCAAGCCATTCACCAGGAGGTCCATTACCTGGTAAATAAATGAGAAATGAATGCTGGGAGTGATTGATAATTAAAATACAGCCAGCTTTGTTTTATTACAACTCTGATGATTTTAACATGATTAAAATACTTGGGAGAAAAAAAGACACTGAAAATTAAAAAAAACGCCACAGCTAAAATGTTCCACTCTGTGACTGGACTTTCCGTAGACATTTGGAATTCAAGTTGGGTTTTTTTAGTAGTTGTTTTGAGTTTTCCTTCCCAGCTCTTTCTGCTCCTGTGACCACTCCCTGGTGCATGGCTTGGTGTGGAATTGCTGTAAACTTTATTACCTGTCAAAAGGGCAAAGGGGTCAGAATCGCTTGTGGGACTCAGTAAAGTTCAAAGACATTCAATGAGGTAGAGCTTTATGTGCTTTAATAACCCAAGGCAGCTTACTTCTGAAGCTGGCGTTTAATGTACAGTTAAAACCTTGGGTTCAGGTAGTGGTGCTTGTAGAGGGTCCTTTTGTCCGTCGTCTCTTCCTTTTAGTCTTTTGGGATCGCGGAGTGTTTGGGTTTTACTTCGGGGGGATTTATTTTTATATGCTTTTTTAAATCCCAAGTTTTCTCATGCTTGTTCTGTCTGGGGCCTTGGCTCGCGGCTCTGTGTGGATATTTACCATCAAGGAATAGCCCGTTGACTCCCGGTTGGTTTTGTTTTCTGAGTCTCGCTGCCAAACTATCCAAATCGATCGTAGTCCAAGATGCCTTTGGGCCACGCTTCCTCTTCGAGTACATTCGATTATTTTGTCATTAGAGGTAAATATCTAGCACGGACCTGTTCGGGTCCTGCTCTTAGAGAGGCACACGGGCGTAATTTAACACACTGAGATTTCAGTGTGACTTTTCCAGCCATAAAATCCGGCTCCTATACAGGTCTTTGCATTGACGTCAGCGGTGGCAGCAGCTGGAGCCGGGGCTCCTCGTGTCTCGAGATTTCGTATCGCTAACTTCATTTCCAAACTCGCAGGAGGAAATCAAGCCAAAACTAAGCAAGCTTGTTAGCCCGGCCACTAAATTAAAACAGGAGATGTTTTTCCCTCTTTTTAGAGCCGGCATCGATAGCCATCACGCGCAGTCCCTGGGTGGGGGGTGTTGTGTCTTGACGCCATGCGAAGAGGTGACCCTTTTGGCTGTCTCTAAAAAGCAATGTTCTGCGCTTTTCCAGTAAGTCAAGGAACACCCTATAACCCCGACGGGCAGCCGATGGGAGGTTTCGTGATGGACGGCCAGCAGCACATGGGCATCCGAGCACCAGGTAAGTCCCCAGTGGAGCGTCTCCCACCGATGGGCGACCTCGGTCGGTCGCGCCACCGCCAGTAACCACACCTCCGCCGCCGTCTCAACTGCCTGCCTTGCCTCGCCTGTCTTCTGCCTGCCTTCAACACCACCCAGGGGCACCAGGCATCTCCTCGCTCGAGTGGTCCTGGACCCTCTGCTGTGCTGTGTTTTGGAAAGGGGCTTTTGGCGCTATCTGTTGACTTTGCTCATTCTCTGGCATCTTCTTGGATTTTTATCTCCCTCTAGGACCTATGAGTGGAATGGGCATGAATATGGGCATGGAGGGGCAGTGGCACTACATGTAACCTTCACCTAGGTAACCAATGGCAAAGCCAGGGGGAAGTAAGTACAAACGGGGTCTTTGTTCTCACTTTGTCCGAGGGATATTTGTCTCCTTGCATTTCCCTATGTTCTCCCTGCCCATAGCCTCATGCTTGTTCCTTCCTTTCCGTCCATCCATCCATCCTATGCCTGGGCTCCTTTGGGTTTCTCTCCCTCCGGTTCAGCTCAAGCTTTCCAAGCTCCCAAACCCCCTGTGTGCGCGCGCGCCATACATCGACGCCGCCGTACATCGACGCCGCCATACATTGATGCTATTATCCATCCCCGAGCACATGACAAAACAAGAAGCAGCCGGGGAGGTGGGGGAGCCCGTCGTCTTGGCAACAGACTGATTTGCAAAATGTAAGCGGTCTGCAGCAGCGCAGGGAGAGGAAAGAGCATGTCCCCAAAGTGTCATAAATCTGTCTAACCGCAGTTGATGCATGAGTTACATTTCTCCCGCTAACCTGCAAGACACCAAAAAAGCCAAACAGAGACTTCTCGTAGGTTAAAAAAAAAAAAGAAAGAATAAATGGCAGCTTCACTTAGTTGTGTTTTGGAAGGCGATGGATGAAACTTTGATTTCCTCCCCCCCCCCCCCCAAGTTTTTTTCTTTTGGTCTGTCTGTCCGTCATAATGGGATTACGTGTGGCAAAGGAAAAGGAGAGAATACAAAATAGAGGTGTGCGCAGCAGGCTATGGAGCTTAGCCCAGGCTAATTGACTATATCCAAATTAAGTATGCCATCACTTGCAGTGTGACAAATGGATTTGACTTATTCAGTATACAAAAATAGAGATCATTAATGCAATCTTCAGTGGCAGGCCTTGTGAAGAAAGCCTAAAAAAACTGTCCCAGTTTTTTTTTTTCCCCTCTTGTCTTTTTGTGGGGGAAAATACATCATACAAATTTTTGTGGTGTTTAGTTTTTTTTTTTAAAGAAGAGTAAAGCAGTTTGAAACACCAAGGCACGGTACCATGTTTAAACGGTGCCTGATTCTATTCCTCTCACTCTCTTTCTGGAGTTAAAAGCAGTTTTTTCAGCATCTTTGTTGTGCCCCCAGCCTGTATTAATGTAGGGTTTGAAGTTACACAGGCCAAGTGCATTTCGTAGTCGTCTTCTCTGGGTGTGAGTCAAAAGTAAGTTTGAACAATTAGCTGTGAAAACATTCCTCTGAGCTTGGGAATGCAACAGCCTTATTACCTCATCATGGAAATTTCTAGCTTAGTTAATTTAAATATTGTTTCTTAGTTTCTGGGTCAATTAAATTTAAATGATGTATTTTATGCTTCGTGACCAATTAAATTAATAGGTTATTACAAAAAATATTATCATCTTTTTTGATTAAAGAGCTGTGAGTACAGTATATTTTATAAGCAATTTTCATTAGTTCAAAACTGTTCCTTTAGGCTAGATTAAGCAGCTATTCATTGCTAGAGCCTGGAGACCTGATTCCAAGGTGTTCGGCGCATTCACAGCGCGCTCTTACTTAGAACTAAAGCCAATTGAACCTACTTAGCAATAGCGTATGCCTTTCACCCTTGATGATTATGGAGCTTATAGCTCTCCGAAACAATACACCTGTCAGTTCCCATCAGCTACAGCAATCCAAGCAGAAGGCAGAGGCCCACGGAAAGCAGGAGGTTTTATTGTTTTAGGTCCAATTTTTTTCTTATTGTTCTCTCAGACCCACTGAAAGGTTGACTGAGTTGCGCATCTGATTTTTTCAGACAGAAGTGAGCAGGGGGAAAGAATTAATTGATAACTGTTATTGATTATATTTTTTGTAATGTGTTTAGAATACAGGTTTGATTTAACAATCATCCTTAGTAATCCTATCAATTTCGGCTTCGTATGAGGCCTTTGTTCAGCGATGTATGTGCTTGCTGTATAGCCTCTGTTTGAATGGCACAAATACTGGGAACAGATTCCGAGTGATTGGGCTTCAGAGCTAAATAAATAACTGTTGATAAACCTCAACACCGATTTAACCCATCTCTCCTCCCAAGCCCCTCATTAACCACTACGCAGTCCCCTCCTTGAATTCCCAGCACACTTTCACAGGTGGGTAGGCGAAGGCGGGTGGCTGGAGCAAGGCCGCAGGGGATGGAGCCCACCTGAGAGGCCTTGCAGGGCTTCCCCGGCGTGGTGCCACCACCCTGTGTGACGTTGGTCGTCACCGGGCTGGCTCTGCCTCTGGCGTGCTTCCAGATTGGAAACATTTCCATCACATACGTTCCTAACCATAAAAGCAGAAAGCGGTTCTGTCTCCCGGAACTCTGTATTTGGAGGGGGGAGGATGTTCTTGGGGGGTTTTTTGACCCAGGAATCATTCCCGTTGCCATCGTTGTGAGTCCACACGTAGGCTTGGATCCCACAAAGGCAACTGCACTCGTGTGCCCGTGACTCCACGCCCCACCTTCGGCTCGAGCCCGGCCTTCCCATGCCGGAGCGGAGGAACTTCACGGCCTGATGTCGGTAGCCAGTCCCCACCACTCACCGCCGCCTCTTTCTCTCCGCAGGGCTGCAAAGTATGCCAGGGGATTATGTGTCTCGGGGTAGCCCAATGGGTATGAATATGGGACAGCCAAGCTATACCCCGCCCCAGATGCCCCCCCATCCCGCTCAGCTGCGTCATGGCCCCCCCATGCATACCTACATTCCTGGACACCCTCACCACCCAGCGATGATGATGCATGGAGGACCACCCCACCCTGGAATGCCCATGTCAGCATCAAGCCCCACAATGCTTCATACCGGTGAGCCGGCAGTGAGCGGACAAGTGATGGACATTCATGCTCAGTAGCTTAAGGGAAATACGCGTTGTCTGCAGCGACGGTAGATTTCAAACATTGTCTTTCTGCAATGCCTACGGAGTTCTTGGCGTCAACTTTGGACCAAGGGACGTTACGATTCTTCACAGGGACCCTGAAAAGCAGGAAAACACCAACCGAAGTCAACTTCTGGGGACATGCTAAATACCTATATAAGACATTAAGAGAACAAAGAGTGAAATATTGTAAAATGCTATTATACTGTTATCCATATTACGTTGTTTCTTATAGATTTTTTAAAAAAAATGTGAAATTTTTCCACACTATGTGTGTTGTTTCCATAGCTCTTCACTTCCTCCAGAAGCCTCCTTACATTAAAAAAAGAAGCCTTACACTTATCCTGCAAATGACAGAAAGGGCTTATTTGCAGGATTTTTAGAGCATTAAAATAACTATGTCAGGCAGAAGAATCTTTCTTCTATCCTAGGATTTCAGCCATGCACACTCTGTCTCTCTCTGTCTCTCTGTCTCTCTGTCTCCCTCTCTGTCTCCCTCTCTCTCTCTCTCTCTGTCTCTCTCTCTCTCTCTGTCTCTCTGTCTCTGTCTCTCTCTCTGTCTCTGTCTCTCTCTCTCTCTCTCTCTCTCTCTCTCTCTCTCTCTCTCTCGTCTCTTCTCCTCTCTCTCTGTCTGTCTTTCTTCCCTTTCTCTCCCTTTCTGCCCGTCCCTCTCTCCCTCGCTCTCTTTCTAGCCTGGGGCGTGAATTTGCATGTCTAATTCATTTACTCACCATATTTGAATTGGCCTGAACAGATGTAAATCGGGAAGGATGGGAAAAACTGCAGTCATCAACAATGATTAATCAGCTGTTGCAGTCAGTGTCTTAAGGAGACTGGTAGGAGGAAGCATGGAAACGAAAAGGCAGTGTATTTGAAGCCTAATTGTCACATCAGAGCATCCTTGTCCCCATGCAGCAACCACCACCTTGTACATCACTTCCTGTTTTACGCAGCTCGAAACATGGACTGAAGATTTATTTTTAATATGTTGACTTTCTTTCTGGGCAAAAACATCGGTCGTGTGCATTTTTTTCTTTTTTTTTCCCGTAGTCCCATCATGGAGCATTTATGTATACATTGTAAATAAATTTTGTGCAAAAAGGACTGGAAAAATGATCTGTATTATTGCAATTTTTTGTAAAAGTAGCAGTTTGGTATGAGTTGGCATGCATACAGATTTACTAAGTGGGATAAGCTAATTATACTTTTGTTGTGGTTAAACAAATGCTTGTTGATAGCCTTTTTCTATCAAGAAACCAAGGAGCTAATTATTATTAATAATAATCATTGCACACTGAGTCTTAGAGTTTCTGATTGAAACAGTTTGGATTGTATAATAACTCAAAGCCCAGTTGTAGTAGTTTGAGTGCAGTAATGAAATCTGAATCTAAAATAAAAACAAATTATTTTTTGTCATGGTGACTCCACTGCTTGCAAAATTTGTCTCCTGCCCCCCTTCAGTATTTGTAGCCATTCTGTTCCAGACTGGGAGCCGAGCAGCTACGGGATGCAGCTAGCTCCGGAGATGTACCGAGCATCTGCCGTTTCACTGCCGGCTTCCTATTTAACGAATGTGAAAGTAACGCTACGCTGCATAGAGAAACTTTCTCGGAACTTGCGCTGTAAATTGTCAGGATGGGGACTGTTGCCTGTTAATAAATGTAATATTGTAGGGCATTACCGGACAGAAATTTGTGAACAGTATTACCTCCCCCACCCCCCCCAAATTACAGTTCTAATACGCAGTTTAAATTATTTGAGCCGCTGCCGTATCACATTTCTTTCTGGAACTGCACGTTATTAAGGAAGGAGGAAAATAAAACTTGGAAAACGTTGCCCGGGCAGTGCCTGTCTGTAAGTAAAGGCCGCGCTGGTGCGAGGGGCTCCGGAGCTCTGCGGGCGGGGGCTGCTGCCGGCCGCCCGCTCCCCAGGGGCCGGCTTGCTGGC